TCCGATATAGACTATTGACAACATGTGGAAATTCTTGTCTGAGTGAGGCCTATAGCTTTTGAAGGAGGTTGTTCTGAAAAACTATTAACTCATTTAAACTACGCAAGCAACCAAGATCCGTCATAAAGTCTGGGATCAGTACTATTTGATTTACTCAGGTAAATCGGGAAGCATCCAAAGGAAAATTTCCAGGAACTACAATTCGTATGGCACCAAAGCGCTTCAATTCCTACATCATCAAAAGTTACATGAAAAAGTCATACATATACAAGCAATTACTTACTTTGGTAAGTCAAGGCTTACTCTAACTCCATTGATAATGACCCGAACAGGATCTGGGATATAGAGATTGAATCTCCTGAATTGATTGCCATTAGCTAAAGCATAACTAACGTCATGTCTCCGATTCCACCCACAAAAAACAGAGCTCTATTGAGCCTTCTTGCACATTCTGATAAATAATAAAGTGGAAGACAAGTTTGGTAGGATATATTCATCAATTGTAAACTCATTAGTCCTGCAACTTATAATGTTGTAAGTGTTTTTTTTATTTTTTTTTTTTTTGTGAGACTAACCTGCATGCGAGGAGCAAGTGGAGTTGAGAAGATTTTAAACGCAATTTAGTTGAACACTAGAGGAGTATTGATAATGGAGTTTGAATGCCCCTTGCAGCTAAAAAAGAACTGTCGAGCGTTGTACATCCAGCTACGCCAAAGTTGGCACCATGATGCAAATGAAGCATTCCTTTCCAAATAAGGATTAAGCAATGGGAGTTGAAGAGCCATAGCTTTAACACAATCAATATATAATTTAAATCGCAGATTATAAGATTCTATTATATTTTCAATACAAAATAAGATGAAAAATTATCAATAATGAGAATGTATGTTAAAAAAAAATTATTAAAAAAATATTAAAGAAAATGATAATTTGATAGTCCTCTATATGTAAACATAAATTGTTGTATTAGAATTTACAAATAGTATTTATTAATGACGATTGATCAAGGGTTACTACTGCTATATTGATTTTATAGAGAAATCAAAATTTTAATTTTTCCTCCTAACAATTTGATTCAAATTATAAACTAAATTCATTGGATTTGATTTTAGAGAGAATCCAAATTTTCAATTCTGATCCAAACATTTTGATGCAAATAATTTGAAAAATCGTCTTCTATAAATAGAGAAAAGCTTCACATTATCTTCAAGTTTCTACATGGGAAACAAATAGAAAAGAAGACTTTCAGTCAAAATTTTGACATATATACACTCATATATATATAGAGAATAAATAAATTAAAAAGTTGAGAGAAAATCGGATCATAGTGTGATTCTTACATGCTTTTTTTGACTAAGATTGTAGCACGGTCACGGTTGTGTGGGTTTAGGCGCACAGTCACGCGGTTCAATTCCCCTCTAGGACACTTTGGGATTTAAGCAGGGAGCCGCCGGCGGTGGATACTGTGATTGCTCCCCCTGAGGATTAGTCGGTGGACGCAACCCAACGGTAGAGCCGGACACCTCAGTTTTCAAAAAAAAAAAAAAAAAAAAATTGTCGACCAAACTAAAATCATATATTCACAAACAATCCAAAATCAATATTCTAGCACAATCCAAAATTGTCGACAAACTAAAATCATAAATCTTAAGTTCTATATCCAGATCTAAATTCAAAATACCATGTGCATAATATATAGCATCAAAACTAGATCTTAACCATAATTTTTAACTGGCATCCTAATTCACAAACAAAATTACAAAATATTGAAAAGTGTCAACAAGACCACTAATTAAAAGATCAGTGTAATCTAGCATAGTAATGCTATAAACACAAAAAATCAGCAATGCATTTGTGCCATTTTGCTGTAATATAAGGTGAAGTGTTTGAGCCAACCTACCAAAGAAGTCTGTGATGAGAAGTCCATCAGACCA